AACACTCTCACTTCTCGCTATCGATATCTGCTGATCCAGCACACTCCTGCCCGTGACTAGTCACTAGGACCAGCACGTAAATTCAGGACATACTCAATAGTCTCCCTACCTTCTTCAAGTGTGACCTTTCTTTTACTATCCGTCGGAGCACTTGTTCATCTCGTACAGAGCGTCGACGCAACCACCAAACATCAGCCAACTCTCGGAGAGTTATATCTTGACCATCACGGACCTCATTCATATACGCATCAGCAGTCATATTGTCCCACGGTGGGACTCCCACCAACTTGGTGGTTCTAACGCTTCGAGAACAGCATCCTTAATTTCACGAGACTCCTGTGAAGCAAACGGGCCGGATGAAGCTTTCATATGACCACGACAAACGATAGCTGGAGAGAGTGGTGATTCGCTACTGGTGAAGAGTCGACGACGTCGACTCAACGTACGGAGTAGTATAACCGCAGCTGTTGCACGGGACAGCGGGTCTTATCAAGACTCTGAAGTGCACCACGGACAACAGCATAAGGATCTCGATGGCTTTGAGTTCCTCCGGGAGGAATCCTCCCCCCGAGGTGGCAATGGGATGACCATTGAATTCAAATCTTCGTGTCACCAACCACTTCGTCAATAATCCTTGGTCAAGAAGTAAAAGACCGTTTCGGACCCAAAACGCGCTGTTCTTGCAATTTGCAAAAAACTGGTGAATTGTGTCCAGACCGGGGATCGAACCTGGGGATTATATTTCTCTCGCGGCGGCGGCGCAGCTACGTGACTTGGTAAGAAATGGGATAGCGATAGCGGGCCTCAGATACTCATGTATATAAAGACAATTTCCGGTTGTGCGGATGTTGAGGCGGTTTCAGAGGGTGGCCATGCGCGACGAGTCAGTGCGAGATGATCAACGAGCTAAGAAGATCAAAGCGGGCCATAGGCCGGCGGTAAAACACACTCATCTCTGTGAAAAGGCGATATTCGCGGTGATATGCAGTAGTCGTGAAATATGTTTTTCACTAGTGTTTTTATCATATTAGAATTGGTATGTATAATATCAATTAGAAGAGTATATTAATATCAATTACTTGCCAAAGTGGTGCCAGAGTAGAACATATCTTCTGTGATATTATAAACACTAATGAAGAACATATTCCCCAAACCACTGCATACTGCGGATAATATCGAGAGTTTTTCGCAGAGTATTATCAAGCCACTTCACGTAAAACTGGTCGTAAAACTCGAGGATCAGTTGGAGGTTAATATTATGTACAAAGTGCTGCTACTATGAGTGATAGTATTATTTACTCCCACTCCCCCTAGTATGAGCTCAACACAGGCGGAGGAGGAGGAGAAGGAGGCGAAAACTGTCGTCACTCCAGAGCAGCCGACTACTACTACGACTACTGAGGTTGATGCTGTGGAGAAGAGGAAGCGACAACTTGAGAATCTTGGTAATAATAATTGGTAAAGGTGTGGTATGATGGCTTTGAACTGTTGTTATTATTAAGGTCGATCTGGAGGTGTGTACATTCCTCCATTTAAATTGGCGAGAATGCAAGCTGAGGCAGCGAAGGAAGCGAAGGAAGCTTTTGGTAGTAGTAGTGGGGGGGAGAGATGAATCAGCAATACTTGATGAGTCGTTTATAAGTGTACATATAAACACGATATAATGCATAATTGTACGAGAAGTCGCGAAGTACAGTTTTGGTAGTAATAGTAATAGGAATGAGAGATGAAGCAGCAACTCTTGATGAATTATTGATTATTGTACGTGTATCACATTATATGTAGTTTCCGAAGAATTATTAGTGTGTGAAAACAATGCATTTTGTAAGTGTGCAAAGAGTAGCAAGGGGCGCAAAAGCTGGTTTTGGTAGTAGAGGAGATAGCTTCGCGCAACTTAGAGGTATAAAGAATTTATGTTGAACAATTTCGAGTAATTTTTCACGAATATTAATTTCACTTTGTCATCGCGCAGTTGATGGTAATAGTAGCAAAAGTTTTTTGTTGCACACTGCTCGCGGAGTTTCCATCATTTTCGTCAACTTTTGACCACGAATTGAAGTTGTACAAAATGAAATCTTGTGACTATCACTCTCTCAATGCTCGGTGGATCAACTGTATAAATGCAAAAAGTTGTATTTTTGGTATTGTCATATTTCCTGTATAATGTAAATAATAATAAAATATAAGGTAGACGATAACATATGATATATCTATAGTAATTATTATATGGTGATATAGGGATTATATATAACATGATTATGATGTAGTTTGTGTGTTGTGATCAGGTCCTGAAGTCCAACGGCAGGAGTGGGAAGCATTGAGGAAATCCATAAATGGTTTAGTGAATAAAGTATCAGTTGGGAATATAAAGGACATAGTTCGAGGGGAACTATTCACGTTGAATCTACTACGAGGGAAGGGGCTCTTTGCAAGAGCTATATTAAGAGCACAGATGGTAATGTGGGGAAGGTGTGGTATGGAATTGGCGCATAAATATAAATTAAAAAATATATAATAAATTAATATCTAATTGCATATAAATTATATATTAAATCTATATAAAACGTATCCCTATGGAATTATTTTGTAGTAGATCATATTATTATACGTATTTATATCATAGTGTGTGAGAAAAGATATTTAACGCAGTATGAAGATTTCTGGATATGATTCCTATTTCCGTGTTGTTGTACTGCTTTGTGTTAACGCTGTGTATATATCTTACATCCGATATGTAACAATAAAGAAGATACGTAACGCAGTATGAAGATTTAGGGTTGAGGGTGTTGTTGTTGTAGGCCTCTCCAGGATTCACTCACGTATATGCGGCGTTGGTGGCAGTGGTAAATTCCCGACTACCAGAAGTGGGAGAGCTGATAGCGAACAGGGCTGCACTTATGTTTCGGTATGTTATGAATAGTCGCTGTCCTTGTCCTTGTTGTTGATGGAAGTGTGGTATCAGGCGTGCATATGCTAGAAACGATAAGATAGTGTTGACGGCGGCATGCAAGATGTTGGCACATCTCATGAACCAGAAGGTTATATCAGAGTAATATCGAAATTATGGTATGATCATTAATGTCGTCGGAAAAGGAGTTTTCTATTTACTCGGGGAGTATTTTACCATTTATATTGAAATTCGGAGTAACGGAGTTTCACCTGTGATATGAGAAAAACATTGGTGAGAAACCTATGTCGCGAATATCGCGTTTTCCACAGAGTGTTTCGCCACTCCCCTGTGAGACGGGTGAAACTCCTACGTGTCCCTGTCGAATCGTCTACACTTGGCCAACTTCTTATCAAGATTCAATACTGATACAATACTGTTGTTGTTATTCGCGCGGTTTGTGCATTCTTTTAAGGCTTGTTGTTGGAAAATGGTGGTAAAATGAGGTTGTGGTGGGAATAGAACCTGCGACCTGTTTTGGTTGTTGTGTGTAGATTCACTATAATGAGAGTGTGTCTGTTGTTCCTGGAGGAGCTCACTACCGATAGTGTTGAAGTATGTTG